AGGAATGCCTGGCAAAGAGCTAGGTGGGGAGGTGCATTGTCTGAGATGGAAGAAAAAAGGCTTTGTGAGTTCCCTGAGTTCCTTGCTTCCCGAGAGTTTTGAGAAGGAGACAGACATGAAAGAAAAAAAAGATGAGTGATGTAGAATGAAAGGAAGAACAAGATGTTTTTTGTACACAATGATGAGAACTGTGAGGGACACGGTGTTTGCTGTAGCATATTTGTTCAAGTTTGGATCAGCGCTGCATGATGATAGATGCCTTCAGGCGTTGTGTTTCATGCTCTTTCTACCCCTGTGTTCTTTGCACTGGGTGGTAGTACTTCAGGGCCACTCAGTCCATGTGCACAGTCACTTGGCTACAGGCATTCATCCGCCACAAAGTGGCTCTCCCCTAGAGGAGTGTTTACAAGGTCTGAGTAAACACTTGCAGTGCTGACCAGCTCTTGAAAAGCAGTAAGCCATATTTACTGTGAAAAGTAAATACTGTTTCCTGGTGCCTTATCTCTACTAACTGACACTCTTACAGGAATTTCCATGTTTGAATTGTTTTGGAATTAGCAAAAGCATGTAGCTCTTAAACTTAATGTATGTAGCACATCTGCACTGTTGAATTTGCACCTTGCTGGGGTAGATAAGCAGAAGGCCTTTGGTACTGAATTTCTTTCTTTGTCTGGTCCTCCAGCTACCATTCAGTGGAATGTTGCTGTTGTCAGTTGTGTTGTGCAGAGAGTTTACAGATAATGTGTCAAACGGAGTCATTTACTCTGTGGACACAAAAATGAAGTCATGGTTTTGGAAAAGTGAGTTAAGGGGGCAATTCAAGTTTCAACAGAACGCCTTGTCATCCAGGTTTTTACAAAGAGGTGAAAAGATAAAGTATGTGCTATGTTTAATGTCATTTCCATTTTGTTTTTTTTTAAATGCTGTGTTAATGACAACACAGAGTAGGCGGAGGTGTTGGGGGTTTAGAAGAGAGGAAGCTCTCTTGATGGAGAAGTGTTGAGTGTACAGGAAGATCTTATCCATCTTGCTCTGTTTATCAGTTGCTTTTGTTTCAGCTCTTGATGACTTGATGCCAGTTTTTCCCTTGAGGCCCCAATGAAGATTAGCAACAAAGGGTTGTTTCTTCCTTCTGTCCTGAGCTCTTCCTTTCCGTTCCTTTTTATAAGTCACTGTCTTTTTAGAGGAGAAGATGAGCCAGTCAGAAGTCGGTGCATAGTCACGCAGCAGCTGCATCAGAGGTAATTTCTTTGTCCCTTTTGCACTGAATTTATTTAAATATGTAATACTGAGTGCAGCTAGTGTGCTGCACTTGTTGGACAATCAAAAGTTCTTTTGGGATGTTAATGAGCAGCATTTTACAGCTTAGCTTACCACTGACTCTTTATGATCTGTGTGTACAGCAGACCAGAGGTTCATCAGTAATGGGGTTAGCCAAGCTTACTGAGAACATGATGGGGGTCCTGATTTGCCAGCAGGTGGTCTTACTTAATGATGAGCGAGTACACAGTCCCGTGGAATGCTGTTTGGGGTGGGTGAGATGTGGGATGACTGTTTCAGCCCACCCCCAACTCCTTCAGTGAATGAGCCTAGACCCCATGGAAACCTTTGAGCTTTTTTCGCACTGTTTGTACAAGGAGGAGGCCTGGAGTCGGCAGAAATTCCTACCCTGCACAAGCTCCTACCTGGCTGTTTCCTCCCTCCCCACCTTCTTGATATGTGAGGAGATAATGATAGAATGATTAGAGCAAAATGGAGAGGAGTGAACATTTTGGTTTTTAGCCATAATACCTTCGTGAATGGTTATACCATACATACCAGTCGTCTCCCTGTTTTCAAGAACAGTTAAACACTTTGCAGGGGTCACTTCACAACTACAGTTAATCAGTGGCTCAGAGTTCGGAAAGAAACCCACAATGTTGCGTGTACAAGTTCACTAGGCCGAGGATTTAGCAGAGGTGGCCTTTTGAGCTGAGCTGAGCTGAGATCTTAATGATTAGTTTCTGCTGTCTTACTTTTCATTCATATTTGCTTTCTTTTAAGGTTCATTTTATTTCACACAAGTGTAATAATTTCCTCTGAGTTTTTGTGGAGGTGGTCTTTATTTTCAGTGCAGTGCTCCAATGGGATATCCTGCAGCCTAAGTTTTCTGCCCTATAATTTAAATATCATGCTCTACTACCACCTGTTCATGTTTTAATCTTACCAAGAAATCCTGGAGAAAGATTAGAACATTACTTGAAACATGACATTCTACAATATACTTGACTTTCCCAGCTATAAAGTGGGTAAGACCGAAGGGGGGTTATTTTTTTTATTGTGGTTGTGTGGGAGAACACTGCACAGCTGCACCCAGGTGACTGAACTAAATCACTGAGGCCTTTATCCAGTCTATGTCTGCACAAGCAGCCTTTTGTCTTCAGGGAGTCATAGGAAGTCAAATAGACTGACTTTAAGGATCGGATTTTTCTCAGGGTGTTTGAATGGATTAGAATATAGTCTAAGAGTAAGAGTATATCCACCTACTGGAGGGCTTTTCTACAAAGGTGTGCCCTTGCTAAATCTGTGCACCCTGTGTGGCTCATGTCAATGCACTGATGCAGTGAAGTGAACAGAATGGGTCAAATAGAAAGGCTTGTTGGAAGGCTTTGTTGCAATAAGCAACCAAGGCTTGATGGGAGAAGCAAGATCAAGGGTCCTGTTTGCCAGCTACCTCAGAGTCTCCAGAGTTATTGCACGTTTTAGATTTTAATTAAAAATGTGGGAGCAGGAAGCCTGCTTGGCATAGTGATCAAGGACTCAGAAATGAAAAAGCCATGAAAGATGGAAGAGAGCAAAGGAGGAATGGACCACTTAAGCACAGTCTGTTCACCTTGGCTTGTATTTCAGCCTGAACCAGGAGTGTATCACTCTCATGCTGATAAGAATCATAG